CACTTTGTATTCAGGCTCAACATACTGCATAGACTTCCTGAAGCTTTTACCTACAACAAAGTTAAGTGGAAGCATATCTTGTGAGGTCATTGTCGTGATGAGCTGCGTTACCTTCTCAGACAGATCACAGTCTCCGGGTGAATGATGTCAAATTGGTCTGTGTGTGGCTAGCACCGCGAGCAGCAGCAGCCGTCATTTTGTGCAGGTTAACATCCAAATGCTTGAGCTGAATGTGGTTGCGAATTGCTCCAGTCGAGTGATCATATGCCTTTTTTTCTGACACAGCCTACATGCTACCTTGTTTTCATTTTCTAGATCAAAGTACAGTACAGCCAAACGGCGCTGGTTTTGCTAGAGGACATCTCTCCAGTTTCCCAGTGCTGTTTTAAAACTCCCACTTTCAAATCTTAAATCAAAATGTAGTCTATTTCTTTGTCTTTCAATTAGAAGTAACACACTTCCAATATCTCTAACAATTTTTCATCGACAGACCTCTTCTTTCTTTTGATACTATAAAACTGAAAGTTGCCCTCAGCAAAAAGTTAGTGACTTTTAAACAAGTAGATGAGATCAGATCCATGAGGCAGACATTCTTATGTTACATTTCATTAAGCTTACATTAAGCTGTGTGCCAACCAACCCCGGTCTCCCCTACAAGTGCAGTTCTATGTGAAGTAAATCTACCAGTCCACTAATATTGACATTTATGTCTTAAGCTGATGCTAGCCTGATATGATAGTAGCCTATACTGGTGCATCTATACTGTGCATTCTTATATTTAAAGTAGTTTTTATTAGCTTTAGTGAAAGATGACATCTAAGGGGTCACGAGACCAGATTTTCCATTCACTAAATATATCCCTCGCCTGCATGTCTTTCCTTCTCTCTTCTGTATTACTTTATGCTTAGATAGATTTGAGGATATCAACTAAAGTGAAAGTTAAAACGACAACATGTCAGTGGCAGGTCTTGTGAGTTTGGGGATTACCCTGCAGCCTTTCCTGAATCAGTACAGAACACAACTCAAGCTTATCAAATTATCTGACACATCTTAAATCACAGCAGCTGACAGACACTGTCAGTAAAATGAATACATAGTGCATGCACGCTCACAGCCGACTAGTATATGTTAAACCCAGAGAAATAAAGCCATTATATCCTTCAACAACCAGCCGTGATTTCACATGAACTCGGCCTACTTACTGTCAGCAGAGGCGAAAGTCGCAGCCACACTACACAGAAGAAAGACATAGAGCCTGTTTACTAAATGCATGGCGGTGTAAATGGAGTTAAAATCTAAACTAACTGCAGAGCGGGTCGGTCTGAAGTGGCTCAGGCGAGGAGGAAATCAGTTATGAGGCGAAGGGAAAGTCCGAGGCAAACCTGTGTGTCAACGGAGTGGAGCGTTTCCTGATTGGCTGCATACCAGAGGAAAAAGGAACAACGTATCTGTGTGTACTTTCAGAGGGAACTTAACTTCTCTGCTAAAAGTGTCATATCATTAACCCCACACTGGAGATCTTGTTAGATTTTTCCATTTTAGACTCACAATGGGAAGCAAAATATTTCACCCCAGATGGGACTCGAACCCACAATCCCTGGCTTAGGAGGCCAGTGCCTTATCCATTAGGCCACTGGGGCTCTGCGGCGTTTTGATGGTATCAATGAACTATTTATATATTCATATCAGTCGAGTAGTAACGAGTATTGATTGTTTCAGTAATAAATATCACAAACGACAAAAGGACCTAACTATAATGCAGATGCAATTTCACTGTCACGAATATATATTAGAATCCATAATCTGTGCAGTTATAACTTTACGCACATTGCACAGAAACAACAGCAGAGCTCTCCGGGTTGATCTCCTGTCTCTGGCGAACTCAGTGAGTTGTGTTTGTTTTATATCCAAGATAATGGCTATAAAAGCAAGAGGGTCAAAGGTCAGGATGTGATGTTATGAGAAAAGTAGTGTTGGAGCCATATGTTTGATTTGTGTGAAATGTAATATCCCACCCTGCCACTAGGTGGCGTACATCACAGGCTGAGGCAGGCCATGGTATTTAGGTTCCTCCCAGTAAGCACAGGTGTCGCTGATGTAAGGAGACAAACAGCTTTCGACTGTGCTCGGAGTAAAGTGTGGATACATCTGACTGTGGATCTTCTGCTGGGAGACCAAGCATCAGAGATCGGGACGCCAGACCACCTATGCCGGCCAACGTTTGGGTATGTTCAGCGCTGACACAACGGAAGTGGCCATTGTAATGCCCTATTAAATCAACACACAAAGCATTGATGGAAAAGATAGTCAATTTACTAAAGGAAAGAAACACTAAACTACCCAAATTGTCTAAGTTAAGATAAACTATTGTTGACTTGAGTGATGGTGACTATGTGAATGAGGTGAAATGTACATTTGACAAATATCAGGTTTTGTGTGGTGAAGCAAAACAAATGCACTTGACACTACTGGGGTTATTACCTGCAGATGGAGCAGAAAAAACAAGTGTGGTACAAAGCAAAAATGTTAAATGTCAGTGATTTTACTGCTGTGGTGAGTAAGTGGTTGTCTAAAACTCAAAGTTGCCCTGCTGCTGCTGCTAATGGTGACAATGATACAGAGGAGGTTTGTATGGCATGTTTAGCTCTTCCAAGTATCGTAGATCCTCCATAGCATTGGAAACTTCACATAGGAGGAATACATAGGCTTGGAGTCCTTTAATGTCCTCAGACTTGATAACGGGCCATCCTATTATTCTTCCATACAGGCAGTTGGTAACCTTTAATCCATTTCCAAAATGTTCCTCGAGCAACTGTTTGGCAACAGTGCAACCTCCCTCTGGAGCCATATGAAGGCAGCTGCGAACCAGATCCCTTGGCAGAGAGGGTTGTTCCCGATCTCCCTCCATTCACCAAAGTTGGGGTAGATTATTTTGGTCCAGTTGATGTCAAAAGAGGACGCAACATTGTCAAACGATATGGAGTAATATTCACTTGCATGGCAAGTTGGGTAGTTCACCTGGAAGTGGCTTACTCTCTTGACACAAACTCATGCATTAACCCTTTGCAGCGTTTCATCTGTCAGAGAGGACAAGTTAGCCACATGAGATCAGACAACAGTACCAACTTTGTGGGGGGCTGAAAGAGAGCTAAGACAAGCCTTAGCCTCTTTAAATCAGAACCACATTGAAAGAGTACTGTCACAAAAAGGAATCAAGTGGATCACATCACGGTGGCATTTGGGAGCGCATCATACGGATGACCAGGAAGGTTTTAAGTTCTGTCCTCTGTCAGCAAAGTGTGGACGATGAAGGGTTTCAAACATTACTCTGTGAAGTTGAAGCCATACTGAAAGATCGCCCTATAACCAGACTGTCTGAAGATCCAAACAACCTCGAAGCATTGACCCCAAATCACTTGCTTCTTATGAAAGGAAGCCCAGCTATGCCACCAAGACTATTTGAAAAAAGGGGTCTATACGCAAAGACAAGGTGGAAACAAGTTCAATATAATTCCAATCTCTTCTGGAAAAGATGGGTTCATGAGTACTTACCATTATTGCAAGAACGTCAAAGATGGACGAAGGCAAGGAGAAACTCCATGCCTGGAGACGTCGTCATAGTTGTGGATTCTACAGCACCACGTGGATCATGGATTCTTGGAAAAATACTTTTGATAAGAAGGGTCTGGTACATTCAGTTCGTCTTCAAACAAACACCAATATAATAAAAAGACCTGTGACTAAAATATGACTTTTGTGTGACATAAGGATTGATATCAAAATGTGTTGATGATAAATTCAGGAATAAGAATTCCTGCATGAGTTATTTGTGTTTTGTTTGTTATGCCTCTCTGTGCACCGCCTTCGTGTGTGTTCACGTGCTTTCGCTGGTCTCGCGCGCAAGCTGCACACGTGAGCGCGGTGCACAGAGAGGCAGTCAGAGCTACAGGCTACAGTGAGGCTAAAAACAGAGTTCAAATGACGTTCTTCCAAACAACTTTTTATGTCGGGCTTCAGGACACTTGGATCACTACGGACGAGCAGTATGGAGATATTTTGTGGTTTCAATTCATGTGTTTTTGGACGTTTTAATCTGGGGTGCCGTCAGCCTGCATTAGGTGGAGTTTTGTTGCTACCTACTCTCCCCTTGGATCTCCAGAAGGGATGTGAGGACTCTAAAACTTCACCTGAGCTTCCTTTGGCATATGGGTGAGTAGATAATGGCTGAATTTTCATTTTTGGGTGCACTATCCCTTTAAGTTCCTCCCAGTAAGCACAGGTGTTGCTGATGTAAGGAGGCAAACATTTTTCGACTGTGCTGAGTAAAGAGTACATGGCTGTTATTTATTTGAAGTTTGTGTTTAAGTTATTGGAAGTTCTACGAACATTATGGACACTTGTGAGCAACTAAACGAATGATGATTGACAGCATTCGTAAAGATTGGGAGTAATTCTCTGAGTACACAACCAAAAAATTCAGCCAATTAGCAACCAGTAACAGCTAAAAGTATAGGATAGCCACTACAAGTAGTATGTCCTGATTGTGTGCACACTGCATGCAAACTTTTTTTAAAGTACTTTCTAAAAGCAAAAAGTATGTGATGTGGAACACACCTTTAGTCACTCATACTCACAAATAAAATGTTTTCGACAAACTTGACATGTTTGCAAGTCACTTGTGGTCCATTCAGAATGGAGCTGTGACCCACTGACCCACCAGTTGGGAGCCGCTGATCTAGAGCATCTTTCCCATTTCATTGTCTATGGAGCAGCTCCAGACCTTATACACTATGACATCACAAAGTTGAGTTTTTATTTTTAGACTGTCGTGGTCCACAGAAATAACGTATGACTTTTGGGAACTGCCGTAGTTCCCCTTTAAGGTTCATATGATACATTTAAGTCCAAATGAATCTATTTCCCACCAGGTGTTTGGGAACTGAGCAGTGAAAGACAACACACAGTAGATCCTATGGTTATTCAGAAAAAAAACAACAATACACAAATAAAATGTTTTTTTAATTCAACACCGTGCACTCATTGCTGGCTGCTGGACAGGGTTATCTGGTGTGATGTTGCCCCCAAGTGTTTGACAGCGGTAAATCTTAAAAAAAACAAACAAACAAAAAAAAAAACAGAGGTGTAGAATTATATCCACTAAAATATAGAATCAATTTCTCTCATCAAATCTTCTGAATATACCTTCACAAATAGAATAAAGTGGAAATGACAAGAAAGTTATTACACCCTTTCCCTTTGTATATATTTATTTATATGAACTGTATGTTTGCATTTTTTAAAATTCAATTTCCACAGTAGTAAAGCTCAGTGTTCACTGCAGGGTGCTGCTGGAATGTAAAAACATGTCACTGTGGGCATGTATGAGTAGCTGAAACAGACTGTATGACATTAAAAAAAAAAAAAAGACTTTGGTTGTGAAGCTTTTCAGACTGTGACAGATGCAGTCTCTCCTTTTGTCAATCAACTCAAAATGTGCTCAGAAGGAGGAGGAAAAAAACAAAGGAATGTAACAGCTGCACGTAACAAACTCTTCATGTAGGAGCAGAATTATTTCTGCATCAGTCCTCATCTTCATCTTTAGTGGCATCTGCCATTTGTTTGTTAAGCTAAGAAGAAAAGTCATTTTAAAAGGAACAGTGTGTAGGATTTAGAGGGATCTAGCAGGGAGGAGTACAGATTACAACCAGCTGAAACTTCTCCCGGTTAGAATTCCTTCAGTGTTAATTGTTCTGGAGGTTTTTACCGGGAACCGAATTATCCACAGAGGTCTCATGTTCAACAAAACAAATGGACCTGTTGATTTAAACCAGTGAAAACACTGATAAAAGCACCTTCATATTACAAATCATTGTTTCTCTATGCTGCTGGTCACAACGCAGACCAGCACCTGCTAATGTGTACACAACTTTTTTCTCTGATAACTTAAGATCTAGATGTTCAGGAGGTTTTTTACCAGGAGTTGAATTATCCACAGAGGTCTCTTCCTCTCCCAAAAAAAAAACCCAAACTAGGCGATTTAAACCGGCAAAACCACTTAATAAAGGAGTTTCAGGTTAAAAGAAATAAGTGTGTTTCTGCTCTTGTCATGAAGGAGCTGCTTACTATGGTGGCCGATATAAAAACACGCATAACGTCTATCTGATGCCAGTGTTTGGTTTGTCCGTCCTGGGCTACTGTAGCAACAAAGCGATCTCTGTAGACGAGGACGTGCTTCCAGTGTAGATATAAACGGCTCATTCAGGTAACGAAAGCAAAGCAATTCTTATTTTAAGTGATCATACACTACTGAAAACATGCTTATTATATTGAATTCCATCTGTGCCAATACATCCCCCCTAAATCCTACACACTGGACCTTTAAATATCAACCACAGAATATCATTTTAGGGTAGCCAAATGAATCCAAAATATTACGTTTTTAGCAAAGAAAATTACAAAATAAAAATGTAAGTATAAAGATATAAGTTCAACAATCCACAATATGCACACTGACACGCAGCCCTGACCCATTTCACTTCATAAGGAACTAAGAAAGCACACCTCATATGCATATAAATCCTACTCTGTCACATTAAAACTCCTCCATAGCATTTAGATTTAAATAAAATTACCTTCTGTTAGTCGTGTCTCTCTCACAGTCATTAAGCAATGAGCTTACGTGTGGAGGACGGTCACATCAAGAAGCAGGAAGTCTTTTAGGCTGACAGTTGTTATTGTAAAGTAATCACAGAGCTGTTGAATTGAGAAGATCCCACAAAGAAAACACCACCAACAGACCTACTTACAGCGTTATATCATAGCAGCAATTTTCAGTAGTATTCACCTTTGTGACGATAGTGTTATCCATTTAAACTGCTATACTCCACTGCAAGGATCGCTGCTTGGTGAGTGCATTGACATTAGATGCAAGTGAAGAACAGTTATGTCAGAGGGGTGGACTTCATCTCCTCGAGAACACCAAACACACACACACACATACACACACACACACACACACACACACACACACATTCATTCACTCTCATTCGTCGTCGATTAGTTTCTCAGCGCCATTCTCTGCTTGTCTCCCTGCGCTGCTCCCTCCTTCCTCTCCGCCTCCTCCCTCTTCTTCTTCCTCCTCATCTCCAGTGTAGGAGAAGGACTGGCTGCCGTAGTTGATCATGGTGCGGGAGAGGTCCACTTCGATGGGGAAGACATCCGCCTCCTTCAGGACGGCATAGCACTCGTCGTAGTAATGTGACATGCCTGAGACGAAGCGCTGCAGCTGGAACACGATGTCTTGGACTGAAGGTGAAGAGGAGGGAAGAGAAAATAGTGGGGTATCTATGTTAATAAACTTTGTAGAACAAGAATGTGTATTTAACCTCTGTTGTTTATTTGTTTAGGCTGCACACACTCTTTTAGTCACTTTCACTTCCGGTAGATGTAACTGGCACAGGGGTGTGGTTTCACATTATTTTACCTGTCCAGTCATGCTAATTCACAGAGCTGATACCTGCGGTTGTTACACAGGCTAGTTAAGTCTTCTTCAAGTGGACATTTGTGCTGTTGTGCCGTTTGAGGAAAGTTCCCTCAAGACGTTCCCGTGATATCTTGTTAACAAGAATGGAACAGACGGACAGATGGATGGACAGACGTGAACAGACGCATGTGATGGATGTGATGACAGTGTCTTATTAGAGCCAGATTACACCTAACAGAGTGAGTACCTGGATAAAAATCGCTCAACTACAACAACAACTGACCATGTTTCTGATCCAGCAGCTCTATCTTCTCCAGAACGTCCTTCCTCATTTTGGCGAAACGGGCGCGAGCCTCCTGCCGACACCGCAGCACCAAACGGTACTCATAGTTACCAGTGCTGACACGGTACAGGGGTTCTCCCATGGCCTGTAGGAAGAGGAGAATTAATCACAGCTTCTGACAACATGAGCACCAGAATCCCCTGAGAGATGTAAAAGCAATGCACCTTTGCGGCTGGCAACCTGAAAAACTTGTGAAAATATCAACTCACAATACTGCTGTACTCTTCATCATCCATCTCCTTCACCTTCAGGCAGTACGACTGAAAGACACAAGGGATTCTTGCTGTTTCTCTGATGACTGATTTACAAGATTTACAAGTGATGCCACTGAGCTGCACGAAAAACCAAAAGGCACTGAGTGCTGCTGCCTTACCAAATATTCAAACTTGACATCAAGGTACTTGCGGATGGTGAGCTTTGTGTCTGGTATGGCCTTGTGAAGGTACGTGTTCAGATCGTGGAGCATCTGCATAGAACAGTGATTGTTGATTGGTGAGAAGTTTGATATGAAGTCAGACAGTCCATACAGTCATGTGATGAGATCCACACAACAGACGTACAACAGCACAGAGCAGTTTCAGATTTACTCCTGACATCTTAAAGGTGAGGTCGGTATTTTTTAACCTGGACCCTATTTTCACATGTGTTTGCATCGACGTGACTGATGGGAACAACAGTTTGTGAAACTGGTCCAGTATAGAGCGAAAGCGCTGCAGTTGTCAGAGGCGAAACAGGCTGCCAGGTAACCACTCATATTCACAGCATCAATGTACGGCCACTAAAAGTGCTTGTTTTTGCCACTGACATGTTCACATTATTATTTTAAGTGTGTGACAACATTGTGTTAAGGATCCCTACAGAGACGGACCTTTTTTGTTAAAGAGTAAGATCCTTTTTGTTTAACCCGAAATTGCCCTGAAATCCCTTTCACCAAACCCACCAGACTCCATTTAAATAAACAGGAATTTTATCCTTGTAAAACACACTTTCAGAAACAAAATAAAACTCATAAAAACCATCTTGGTTTCCAACAATCAGCAACTCTGGTTTGGATGATTAAAAAACCTTAATTCACCCAGTTAGATGTGAAAATATGCTGCCTCTATATATGCTAAAATCAGTCATTATTTAAATGGAGTCTGGCAGAACTTGCAATGATAGTTTCTGGTTGAACAAAACTGATCTTACTCTTTAACACAAAAGCCCATTTGTGTAGGGATCATTTCCATGATGCTGTCAGATGCGTAGAATAATAATCTGAGCCTGTCAGTGGCAAAAACAAACACTTTTAGCAGACGTATATTGACGGTGACGACGACAGAAGTTCCTATTAGTCACTTAAACACAAAAACATGGGAAAATAGCATCCAGGTTAAAAAATACCGAACTTACCCCTCAAACAAAAAAGTGTGTGTTTTGTACTTCCATTCATGTTTGATAAAAAACATTTTAAAAAGATTCTCTTTAAGAGGTCTGAGTGTTGTCGAGTACAGTCAGTGCTTCAAATCCAAACTTTAATCTGTACTTACAGGTTTGATGGTCTTTAACAGCTGAATACCGTATTTCTCAATGCTGCGGTGAGCATCAGCAAACTTCACAAAGGCTTCGCTGGCAGCAGCCTGCGGCTCTCTCACCCCGATTACAGAAAAAACATCGCCAAACGCTGGAGGGGAAGATTTTCAAAAACCAATCAGATACATAGAGTTGAGATAAGACCCGTTAAGATGATCTTTCTTGTGTGCGTGTGTGTGTTTTGCTAGTCAATGTGACAGGTAAAAAATGCTGTTGAGTTTGTTTATGATTTCTGATTCTGATCACAGTAACTCACCTCTGTGAGTCTGAGAAAGCTCAAAGAAAGCTCTGAGCAGTCTCTTAGTGTGCTCCATCAGCCCTGCAAGCAAACAGAATAATGACACATTGGTTTGAACAAACAATAACAGGAGAAACTTTACAGTAACTCATCTTTAACATAGAGTATCTGATTAAAACAGCAGATTAACAGGTATCTCATTCAACACATTTAACTACATCAGAGATAATGTGCAGCCAGCGGGCCTGCAAGATGATTCAAGACCTGTTCAGTGTGATTTACTATGTGGCCACTTACTAAAGAAGTCAATAATGTGACATGAAATATTCATTTAAAAATGATTTTATTGCTTCTGCCAGAGTCTATGATCAGAAATTCAATTATTCCTTACCTTTGTAGAGCTCTGCTGTCTTCTCCAGCTCTTCCAGTCTTTTTACCAGCCCATCTGTAAAGTTAAAGGAATCCTCATGAGCAGAGCTTTAAATCTTCACTTCACTTTATTAATTTGTCCCTTGAAGGGTGATTTGGTTTTCAGCAGACAAATTCAACACATACATTCATTCAACAGTCACAGTTAGACATAAAACCTACAGGATGTGAGCAGTGAATTACATCAAATACACCAAGTGCACAGTTTACAATGCAAAGAAAGAAAGAATATAGACCACTGGTCAGCTTATATACAGTAGCCTACACAGTAAAGTGTGTAGCAGATAAATAAATAAATAAATAAATAAACAAACGGGTACAAAATAGTAGCAATGGAAGTTTTAAACCACAGTGCAGTTACCTCCTCCTCTCCGCAGCGTTTAGAGCCCGGATGGAGAGAGGCATAAAGGAAAATTTGTATCTGTTTTTAGTAGCTGGGGGTACATGCTACCCATAGAGAAGGCAAAGTTATATGTTAAATGTTTCGGACGAGGGCGCCATCTTGTGTTCACAGCGCTGGGTTATTGTGCCTGTTAGCTGGCTAGCCAAAAGTATTTGGGCAGAATAATCACGACAAACAACACAGATCCTTATGACGTGGCCTTGGGCTGGATGATATGGACAAAAATTCATACCTCGGTATTTACAGGCTGACTGGAGATACACGATATATATCCTGGTAGTTTCTACGAAATGGGCGACATGTTTTCAGTCGCAAGTCAAAGCCACATTTGAGATGTCACGAGCACTTTTATAGAAACAGACTGTGATCAAAATAAAATGCAAAGACAGGGATTTTTTTCCCTGTATGTTAACTGTTTTGCACATGGCACTGGAGCTACAGAGGCAGTGTCAGAAATTAGCAAGGGCCACGGGCCATTTGGCCCGCAATTTATCCAAGAATGCCCCCAAAAAGCCATGTTCCGGGGGCCAAAATTGCCACCAAGTTTTCAAAACAACTATATGTATTTATATTTTTATCAGTATTACAATCTGACATTAAAGTATAATTTTATTTTCATTAAATTAATTTACCGTCACGTCTACAACTCATTTTCCAGACATAATCAACGAGATTGCACTGATTACGTGAGAGTAATCTGACAGAGAAGGGGAGGGGGCTTTGATGTACCATAAATTTAAATTAACCATTTCTTGGGTGATCTGTGTCGACACAATGACAAATTAATAAAAAATTAAGGTAGAATGAATGTTCAATTTTAAATTAACTTACTTCCAGGATTGCATCTAAGGAATTTATAGTAATTTGGCCTTTTTAACAGTAAAAGTAACTGTAATGTGGTGAAACATTAGTACTGCTATCAGTAGATTAATGGTTAAATCATCACATTTGAACTGGTTGAATTATAGGAAATCTGAGTGATATTTTGCAACCATAACTTTATGTAACCCATTATTTATTTCATTTATAGTGGTTTCCACTGAAGAGTGAAGACACTATCTTAGTTGGTTTTGCTTTTCATGTGCTTATTGTTAGAACATAATTACAATTTTTTGATGGCCCCCAAACATTTTGAAAATGCCCCCATTTTTTAGACCGTGGGGGCCAAAATTGCCCCCAAAATATTTTGTTAATTTCATACCCTGTACAGAGGTTTAAAGGTTTGCAGCACAGGACACAAAACTATAACATGAGTATAAAACTATTAAGTAGGCCTACAGCTATTGTAGTTTGGAACAATTAAAAATCTTTGTGGGCGGATTTTAAAAGTCATTTATCATGGCCTTTCAGATGAATCTAGTGCTGGAAAATGATTTCAATCTTTTTATTTATTTATTCTATTAATCTTATTTATGCACAGACCACCAACAGAGAGGCCGAGGGAGGAAAGGAGACTCTTTGTCCGCGTTATATACGTCTTGTATATGAAATGTCTGTGTTGTCACCTGCATCCAGGCGTTGTCTCAATGTAGCAAAATAGACTACAACTACCCAAGAAGAACGGCAACGCGCTCTGATCCACCTCACACACAAACTAGCAGCGCAGCACTGGATTGCACGTGTGCTGCGGTAACTTCATTCATCTCGATTTAGCGTAGCACGTGCAACATACAGACCGATGTCTCACTGTAGACTGAGTAGCAGACTCATTAAACAGAGGAGCAGCTCTGTGTCTCTGTGTGTTGATGGAGAACTTGTGAGTGATTGAGTGGGGCGGAGCTGTGCAGAGAGTGCAAGAGAGGAGAGATGCACACTGGTACCTGTTATTTAGCACAACTTGACCCTTTATCGATATAAACAATGTCTAAATTTCTTGCTTGAAGATATATCAATGTATTATACTTAGTCGTTATATCGCCAAGCCCTAACGTGGCCCAAGGCTGGATTACAGACCGCAATGCACTACTACTACTACTGCCTATTATTTTAAGTAACAGAGCACGCACCTCAAAGATGGCACCAGCATCTCAAACAGCGTGATGAACCTTCACATTATCTAGATAAATTCACTAATAAAATCAGGAAGCTCATAATAATAATAATAATAATAATAATAATAATCTCACCGTTACATAGAATAGCTCTGCTGAGTCCAAGAGCATCTGCTGTGCCTGAGCTCATATTCTCCACAAGCCGATGTTTGACTTTTTTCAGCACTGAAACACACAAAATACGTGTTAAATGCGCACACACACACAGCCGTGGATAAAATGTACAGTGATGAGGAAAGAATGCAACTCATAACACCACAATACATAATCCATAATGCAGTAGTATAACCAAACAATGACTCAAGTCAAGGAGATACCTATATCCAGAGACTTCCCCTGTTTGGGGTCTGCCTGCAGTTTGTTGTAGTGGATTACTGCTTCTCCCTGTGAAAACATCATCAAGAGATACACTGTTGAATCAACAACAAAAAATAAACGCTATATATTTAAACCTATCTTCCATTCATTTAATTTTATAAAATAAAAATACAATATGTTATAAAACTGATAATGTGCAAACTTTTCCAGCTTCATGTTGCCGACGGTACAATTCACATACACATTCATGTGCACTGAATGGCCACCAGCAAAACAATCTAATCCTTTAAATCCCACATTGCACCCCGTCTTTAATCCATCACGCAGGAAGTCAGGGAATTTTTTGGGTGCAAACAATGGAAGCCAAAAACAACACAGCCACTCTGCACTGGTGACGTTATGCCAAATGCTTTGGGGCTATTGTCCTGATCTTTTCAGCACAGCTGAACACCAGTGAAGTCTCTTTTCTCCACAGTCTGATGGTCGGTTTGAACACATTATACAATTAGTGAACTGTTGGACTATTCGGTGATAAATCTGCCACAGCCGGACACAAAAATGTGAGTAGTGTTTCCTTTTGAATGTTTCTATTCGTGTTATATGTGGTCAGTTTTGTTTTTGGATTTAGTAAAAGACACTGGTCATTAGTGGTGTGGAGTCTGGTTGGTGTAACTTTCAGTTGTCAGACCAAGAGGACAAACAACATTATCTGCATCTGGCAGACAGTTAGGTTTAATTTTCTAGCTTAGTCATCATGTACTTTAATCACTAACACAGAGGAGTGCATGGAATTTGTCCAAATCTAGAGTGTGTCCACAGAACTGTGGGAGAAGTAAATAATTAGCTATCTGAGTATATCCTTGTGTTGTTCAGGACTGTAAATGGCTCTAGACTGTGATTCCATTCCCAGTATTTGTGTACCTGTACAGCTTGAATCATCTTGGCCACCTCTACTTTGGTCTTTCCCTTCACTGGTTTCCCATTCACGCCTGTGATCTCATCACCTGCCGCCAGTGTCCCATCCAGAGCTGCTGGGGTGTTATCAAAGACCTGCGAGACAACTGAAACCACATTAAAAAGGTACCAGTGACTCAGATATCTGTTCTTACACTTTTATACTTGATAGAAATGTTCTGAGATAGATTCATAAACACAGTTATAATCAATTGTTCTGTACCAACCTGGACAATGTAGAGACAAGGACAGTACTGTGCCCCACCGCCGATGCTGATCCCAATAAGGTTATTAGCGTCTTTCTTCAGACACACAGTACCAGGAACAGTTGGTATCCCTCTGTTTATGGGGAGAAAACATGATGTATTGAGATCTGCAGCAATTTGTCGACCCTGTTTTTGGACAAATCTAAGAAGTTAAGTATATATTCAAGGTTATAAATGATTACGTCAATAATGTTATGAATACTGAGTTCATGTAAGTACTTACACTATTACAGGGTGTCAACAGGTATCAGACACTTCAATTTAATGCTTTTTAAGCACCTTTCAAGACAATTTAAAACTGATGTTTTGACAAATAAGATTTTTTTCATTCAAGGATTGCTGGTTAAATAATATGTGTTCCTATGCAGAGGCAGATTTTATATGGGATTATAGTTATTTGAGTTCATTTATTTTCTGAAGCTGCTTATCCCGTTAGAGGTCGTGGGGGGGCTGGAGCCTATCCCAGCTGACATTGGGTGAGAGGTAGGGTATACCCTGGACAGGTCACCAGACTATCACAGGGCTGACACATAGAGACAGACAACCATTCACACTCACATTCACACCTACAGACAATTTAGAGTCACCAATTAACCTGCATGTCTTTGGACTGTGGGAAGAAGCCAGAGTACCTAGAGAAACCCACGTACCACTGTGCCGCCGGTTATTTGAGTCATTTAAGTTAATTTACATTTTGCAAACAGGTAAATGCAAGTATGAAGTGCTTGTATTAGGTTCAGTGATAGGTTTCAAGATGACATCAGAAATGTGGACTTTCATGTAGACTCATTTCACCGGAAAGAAGTTAAAAGTAGAGTTGTAATGATACCGATACCAGTATTGGAAATGCCTCCGATACTGTCTAAAGTGTGGTATCGGGTATCGGCGAGTACAGCCTATGACCAATCTGATACCATGTAATGCCTCATGTCATTACGCATACGCACGCCACAGGCAAACAAAACGGAAACGGAGCAGAGTTTAAAAAGCATTCTACTATAGCCTTTAAAATGTCTTTTTTACGAAATTGTGTGGCTGCACTTTAACCTGTGTCTTGATCTGTGTCAACACTTACGGCATTCATTCTACTATTATGTATTTCTTTCTTAATATTTTACATAGAGTTTTAGGAGTTGAGACATACAACAATTCATATCCCATCCATTTTTATTTTATGCGCTGGTATCGGATCGGTACTTGTATTGGCAGATACCTAAGGTTCAGGGATCGGAATCGGTATCGGGAAGGAAAAAGTGGTATCCATACATCTCTAGTTAAAAGATGGATACGTGAAACTAGATCAAATGTTTGTGGCAATTAAGACCTCACAAATTCAGGTTTAAGACAATTTATTGACTTTTACGGTCTAATATTTATACAGCTAAATTTAAGACATTGTGAGACTTCTTAAGGACCTGCTGACACCCTGTATTAGCAACTGTTTTAAGGGTGTCGTGATATCATAGTCTCAACGTGGTTTGATCTGTCTGTATATGTGGTCCTGTGTATTAACATAAGATTTAACAATCCAGTATAATCACTGAAACACAAAACTGAATGGCACAGATCATAACAAGGGAAAACATAGTTATGGCTCACAGCTTGTCCTCCTCCAATTCGTAGTCCATGTCTGTGAACATTGTAGGACAGTGTCACTCCTGTCCCCGTGAGACCTGTGAGAGATTATAACAAAACCCATGAGGTTAAATATTGTTCGAGTCCACCTGGAGACTGTTAAAGATTAAGACAGAAATGTCAACATCAAGCAGCTCTTTCAGTATGAGCTACCAGTGAAGGAAAAGGGATTTAAAGTGAGCTCATTCTGGTGGGAAATACTGAATCTATTGGATGGAATCGTGCCCAAAATAAAGCAGGACAGTGACAAGCTCTGCAGCCTCGCTCAGTCAGTCAGTCAGAACAGAAGACGCTAGCTACTGCAGCAGATGGACAAACAGATGGTAACTTTCAGTGCATGCTAACGACCCGATGTTTGCTAGGTTAATTTTTCCAAATACGTGTACCAGCTAAAATAAATACATCGACCTATGCGATTTAACCAACTGTTTTAATATTTCATTGTAGTGACGGAAGCCAACAGCAACAAAAATTGCTTGCTAACGCTTATTAGCTGCTAGCTACTGTACGTTAGGCTATTAGCAGGTGGAATAGCATGTTTAGCTTTTCAGAAACATCATCAGGCCGTAAACCATTTACCTTTATTAGACTTTGAAACAGCTCCTCATAAAAAATATTCCTTAGTGTGCATAAAAAGCAAAATGTGTTTAAAAAATCGCTCCGTTTAGTCGCAATTATCTTAATTTCTGGATCCACTGACAGCTCCTCTGTTTACTTTTTACGTCACATCCGGAAAACAGCGGAAGTTGATGTAGGGAAATACAATTTTAAACGTTTTCTGGTGAACACTTTAAACGTAAGATTTCCACATTTCTCAGTGGTTTTGAAAACCGTATGTTTATGCCGACTGTTTGTATTAATGTACACTTCACTATCAATTTATATAAATTCCATTTAATGTTTTCGCAGAAAGTCTTCAAAGGGTTTTTGAATACTTTTACTGCCCTCCAGTGGCCAAAGGAAGAAACTGCAACATTTTAAACGTATTCTATCTATCTATCTATCTATCTATCTATCTATCTATCTACACAGACATCTACAGCTAGGTTTAAACAGTAATACCACAATACAGCTCCCTGAAATAACAATGAATACGGTCATATTTAAAGAGATTAAACATTGTGCAAAATATTGTCATCCAGCAGCTTCAGTACAAAAGAATCTGTATCAGACTTCTATCTTAAAACAATAGGGGTAGAACCCTGCTGCTGAGGCACTGACAAAACTATAGACTGTAAATGGTTTGTAAGGCAGGGGATGACTTAACCTGCTTCTTCAATAGCTTCCGCTGTAGTGGGAAATTATGAAAGAGATGCATATGTAATAAAAGTGAGTTGTAGACTGACTGAATGTGGAAAAACTTCATCATGTGTTTTGTAAATGGATTGACGTTTTCAGAATCTTTACACTGAAAAAGGGAAACATTTATAGAGGTTGTTATTTATAGGTTATTATGTAATGGTTTTACTGGTCCGGCTGACTGGAGATAAAACTGGGCTGTATGTGACACCCCTGGACAAAAGTAAAGCACCACATTCAGTCACAGATGCTCCGACAAAGGTTTCATAAAACAGCACAGCCCTCTAAGCTTTAGAGTTCTTTGAATATTTAATTGCATCCATATATTTTTTAGTTCATTTTTGAATATAGACAGACCAGTTTAGAACCACTGAATATGCATTTGTGGATGTGGTATTTAGCAAGTCAAAAATAGTATAAAGCATTTTCGTTCATCTTACATCTTAAAATTAAACACAACAAAGAAAACATCCTTAAAGCAAAAAGAAAATTCTGCAATGAAAGGCGTCTTTGGATGTCTGACAAAAAGTTCTCTGTATGAGGATAATTCCAAAAACAAATGTGAACCAGTTCCAACTGATATTTTACAAAATGAGCAGCCAGACTCAATGTCATGTTTATATCTTTTAAGGAAAGATTTTGCCGAGTACAACATGTAAAAATAAATAAATAAAAATAAGAAAATACTTGAGTGGCAAGGCCCACACTTTTCTCCAAGGCACAGTCTCTAGTATACCTTTCCGAAATGGGATTATGTGTGAATTGTGACAGTGTGTTTTTGGAATAAGGCTCTAATTGTTCTGTTATTATTCTGATGCTCTGTTGAAAAACCACCTTCCAAAGTATTAAATGAATTGACAGTGTGAGAAAGAAGCCATTTCTTAACACAAATTTAACTTTATTTACAAGTATGCATGTTCCAGATTTTCAATATAAAAGTTGTAGAAAATATATTTCACAATATAAAAATGTAAAAAAATAAATTCAGTTGCACAACAAATAAATAAAATGTAGTGAAAAGAAATAAAGAAATATAACAAAAACCCTGCGAAACAAATGGAGTAAACCTGAAATGTCTAAATAATTTAATAGCTTTTGCCAATTTATTATAATTTTTGGGTGTTACATTTTTTAATAGTAGTCAAGTACATTTAAAAACATTTAAAATAAAAAAGGACGGTCGTGTTTTAAGCCAAATCATTTTATAGATATAATATTTTGCTAGAAATAATAATCAAGTTAATTATTTTCTTAAACCAAGATACTGGGATTTTTAAAAACGAGTAATGAGCCTATGTTTGTTTTTCTTAGTGTGATATGTTTTAAAATTTGTTGAAAGGTTTTTCTGTGAATAAAAAAAAGACGTGGCATGAGAGGAAACAAATCTTTACATAGCTCTTGAGTAGTTTCTTTAAACACTCAACATGGCACTGTGGCAGCTGTTACTCACAACATGATCTTTGATTAAGGAGGCAATTAATCCGACTACAACCAATCCAGCAATGATTAAATGACACAGTCCCTTTGCATTGAATTGGCCTCTTGATTGTCATAATGATGAATGGGCCCCATTGTAACAGTTAAAAATCCTTTCACTGAATCCTTTGTGCTACATGTTATAAATCAGGTGAAACTTCACAGTCATGCTTACTTGTTCTCTTCCAGGGCAGAAGATTGTTCCTCTGTGCCATCATCCTCAATCTTGCATTAGCTCCAGGACTGTTTGCCAACTCCAGCACCCAAAATGAGCATGGTAAGTTCAACTGCTTCGGCTTTTATTTCACTGTATGTGAACAGATTATCAATTTGCACCCTTTAATTTGTTAATTAAAAAAATCAGTGACTAACAATAACCTTTCATTTTCTAATTGTATTGCTTGAAACCCTGAACGGCACAACTCTGGATCTCAGCAACTTGAATTGAAGAATGTGCATCTGAGAACTGGAGATCAGCTGAAAATTAAGGGCATAATTCTGCATGATGCTGATAGGTGAGTGAAACAAACACAGTAACTGAATCAATGGTAATATTCATGTGAAAATGTGACTCTTTAGTAAATGGCCTGGTGATTATATGTTTGATATTGATCCTGTGTGGCGTTCTGAAGACTATTTTATAATCTCTGATCCACTCAGATTCCAGATTGACCTCGGCTGTGATGCAGACGACCTGGCACTGCACTTTAACCCTCGTTTCCATGATGACACTGATGGAGCGGTTGTAGTTTGCAACTCAAAGGCTGCTGGTTGCTGGGGCGATGAGAAACGGGAAATACACAACCCCTTAAAAAGGGGCGAGGACGTCAAGGTGAGGAAGTGAATTGTGTTTGTGGTGTGGGATTTGTTGGAGGTTTTAAGATCTCTGTCTCAAACAGAACATTTCTAAGTGTCTTTCCTGTTTTAGATTGTGCTGAAGCTGGCTGGAGACGTGTTTGAAGTGGAGCTTCCTGACGGACAGGAAATCCAGTTTCCCAACCGTGAAAACATGGACGTGATCAGCTACATCAGAATCACAGGGGACCTCCAACTGACTTCCTTTAAGATCTGCTAAGAGACACAAACATGCCACGTTTATCAGTTCGGTTAAAGACAAGACTTTGAGACTTGGTCAGTAATTGTAAGAAATATGAATCACTGAGAGATGTAGATTTGCAGTCAGTTGGAAATGTATCTTCATTTAAAAATGTCCTGTTGTGCATGAGAATATAAAATGTTTGAATTCAAGTGAGTGATCTGGTTTTGTCGTCTTTATTCCCCACAAACAGTAACATTAACTTACACACAGTATCAGTGTAGTTATGAGAGAGCAACAGTCCAATTCAGACAACATATTACATGCAAAAATACCAACAGCCTGCTGAGATTCCACTGCAGAGTTACATAGGCAAATGTATTGTAGCCATAATGTGTAAACGGGTATTATGACACCTTGATTAGATATTATCTGTGATTGTGAATGACTAGGAAGAAAGAAAAGGTTGGGAACAAAAGTGAGACATGGTGTGGCAAAGTAGAAAGTAATAATAATGCTAATAATAGTAATAAACTTTATTTATATTGCACCTTTTATACAAGAAATGCAGCATAACGTGCTTTACAATAAGAATGGACCAGAGTTGCCTTTTTTCACCAAAGAGACATAACTATATGGGACCTATCCTTTCATTTAAGGATACTGAGATCCTTATTCATGCTTCTGTTACATCATGGCTAGATTACTGCAATGCCCTTCTGTCAGGTTTGCCAAAGAGGAGTTTTCGGGGTCTTCAGATGGTACAGAACGCAGCAGCTTGTGTTCTGACAGGGGCATATTACTCTCATGTTGGCCTCTCTCCACTGGCTTCCGGCAGAGGTTAGAGCAGACTGTTGCTTACATATAAAATTGTGAATGGCATACACGCCCACACGTGACCTGCCCTCCCAGGGGACCCATCTTCTGAGTGTCCCCAAGGTCCGCATGAAGACCGTCGTTGAGGGTGCTTTTTCATTTCATGCGCCAACCTTGTGGAACAATCTACCTAGACAGGCAAGGCAATTCAATATAAAAGGACATTTAAAACAGTTTGAAACATGGATTAACTGAGTCATAAAATCATCCACTTGTAAAACTATAAATCATAAAATAAAGTATGATTTTAAAAGAGATGCAGCAGACTGAAGCGTAAAAAGAAAGAGGTTCAAACCTGTATCAAAAAAGTCAGAGTGAGTTAAAGATTAAAGGGAACAGATACATTTTTAGCTTTCTTTTAAAAATATTTAGCAAGCTAGCTGCCCTGATATCTGTTCCTGCTGTTTCTGGGAACCTCCAATAAACCAGCAGCAGATGATCACAGTGTTCTTGGAGGCAAATAGTTAATAAGGGAGTTAGCGATGTAGCTCAGTCCCAGTCCTTGTACGGCTTTGTATATTTTATATATAAGGAGAAGGAGCTTAAAATCAATTGTTAATGTAACAGGAAGTCAGTGCAGAGCAGCTCAGACTAGCCTGATGTGCTCTCTCCTCTTGGTTCTGGTTAATAGCCGAGCTGCAGAGTTTTGAACGAGCTGAAGTTTCTCAGTGGTGTTTTGTGGAAGGCCAGTGAAAAGTGTGTCACTGTAGTCGAGTCGGCTTGACATAAAGGCATGAATCAATTTCTCTGTGTCTTTTTTATTTAGAAATGGTCGTACCATAGCTGTTTCTGAGGTGGCAGGATGATGTTTTGGTCACCTTGTTAATGTGGAAGTTGAAGCTTAGATCTGAATCAAGGATTCATTGTTTCAGGGCTCTATTTTCACAGGTTTTAAAACAGAGCTTCTAACACAGAGATAGCGTTTACAACACTTACATGATTTTAGCAGGAACTTATGCAAAGTTTATTTGCAGTGACAGTGTTGCTATTTTTACACTCTGATTCCATCACTGCAGCTCAAAATAACATGAG